CATTTTCTCCCTCTAGTTTTATAATACGTTATCAGCACAACTTTGCTCTTGGTATGTTTTCTTTCTTTGAATTTTCTTTCTTCTTATATGAGATAGAGTCATCACATGGCATAGAGTTTCTTTGTACTTACCATTAGACTTCATCATGTTCGTTTAAGGAAAAAAAATTCTTATTCTTATTACACATGAATATAATGCCATGGTTTTTTTTTTTTTTTGTTTATTTAATTTTAAGTATGATCTTAATTATTATGATGAGTTTGTATTATACAAAATATCAGGGCCTGAATTTCCTCGATCCTCATCATATAACTATATTAGGACCTAGAGTTCTTTTGATTGAATTAGAACCTGAAGTTCTTTGATTCCAAATAATTGAGGCCGTGAAGTTCCGCGAATTTAAAGAGCACTAAATACATGAAACTCCTCGATTTTGTATTAATCAAAATCAAAATTCCATGAGGCCTACATATGTCAAGAACCCAAACCAGAAGTTTCGAGTGCATATACATCGTTTTGAGTATGAAGTTCAAAGCACAACTATTAATTCAATTTATTTAGATCTACGTATTCGAACTTAAAGTTTCGAATATATATTGATATGAACATGATGTTCATAGTTTTTCATGGATCTTAATACTATACATGAACCTGAAGTTCATTACTTATTTGAGCCTATATGAACTTGAATTGGTTTGAAATCCAATTCTTAAACTTGTAGTTTTATCTGCATATTGAATCCACATTAATATTGGATTATCTTCGAATTTCATAGTCTTTAATTTATTTATTTTATTCCTCGTTTATAACACTTTACTTATTTTATTTTATTTATGTTGGGTTATTAGTTAATTTCGTTTTACAATGATAATGTTTTGTATTACCGCTCCAATATTGACTGCTAGAGGCGTCTATTGGAGAAATTTCCTACTTTCTTTTGTGGGTAGGAAGTTTATGATGTCATGAACCAAAAGTTCATGAGGCCCCAATATTACACAACTATTAAAGTAGTTGAAGATTATGATATCATGAACCAGAAGTTCATTGACCGGATAACTTTTATGTTGTAGCATGACTATCTTGGCAATCCATGTTCCACAATGATACATAAGATTTTTATAAATTTGTAAGGACATCATTTAAAGACTCAAAATATTGTCTTGCCCAACAAATATCATTACAAAGAATGCTCACAAATAAAAGCTGTCATAAGATCATCTCAATCAAAAATTGACTTTGAGCCCTCTTTCCTGAAATAATTCAATTGGATATTTGTGAGCCTATACAACATTTAATTATGGATCACTTCACCAGTTTTATTGAATGTGCCTATAAAATTGTCACATATTTGTCTTTTGTCAAGATGCTTACGAGCATAACTCCCACATTATCCAATCCAGTCAATTTGAATTGATAATGATGGTGAGTTTATTTTCCTACATTTTGAGAAAATTTTCCCGCTGTTAGGGGGAGGAATGACAGTTCCTGAAGAACGTCGTGAAATAGTGTTGAATCGGTCCTTTTTGTCTCATCAAGATAATGCATATATAAAGTTATGAATATTCAAGTATGGATTGATATTCATGTATCACAATCCATTAACATGACAATAAGTGACTATGAGCATGACAAAAATATAGGTTCTAAAAACTTAACTCCCTAGAAGTTGAAATTATTTGAAAAACTCAAGCCCTATAAAAAATAACGCTCTATGTAATAACCCAAACCTAAAATTAATATTTAATTATTAATTTATTAGAAGAAAAGACTAAAATGCCCTTAGAATTTTTATTAGGTCAAAGGTTGACTTTTTGACCAAGAAGGAAATTGGGGATTTCAATTATACCGTTGCGTAGAGCGCGACGAAACGAGTCCGTAGACACGTAGTGGACTCGA